TTCCCTTTCATTTTCTGATTTGGTAAACCTGCATCATTTTTATCCCAAATCAGGTAAATAGACTGTGTTGCTAGCAGCTGGCCAATGGCCAATAACAGATCTTTGTTACAGCAGTGGGGAAGGGGTGTCCAACGTAGCAGTTGGGGGAGATGCCCACATAGTCATGCGAAGCACTGCGGAGAGCATCTGCACAGCACATGGCCCAGTGGGCTATGCCTCACTTGGTTGGGCCCCAGTGGTGTAGTTGCTGGGGGGCTAGAAGTCACACAGCCCTGTGTTACATTATTTAATTCAGCTACTGTACATTAATCTGGAAGATAAATAAATAAATCCAAACCCAATCAGCTCTGAGTACAGGAACTACAGTGCAGACAATTTCAACTAACGTAAAAAATTGTAACAAAATGATGGAATATCCAAAGACTACTAACTTGCATTTCCTGGAGATTCTTACAAAGAATCTTTACTCTCTGTAAAGCTTTATGCAAATAATAATCAGCAGGATTACAAACAAGAAAATTCTAGGTATTTTTACCGATAGACTCTCTGCTTGCTGAATTTTTTTATGAAGCACCTGCAGGTAATACGTATAATATGCTTAAATTACCGAGGCAAATAATAGTACATTCAAATTATGAAAGATGGTTTTGTGCTTGGAAAGAATGGATGACTGGTTTCTGGTGGGCCTAACTAACTGAACTTTGAAGCATTTGCAAAGATTATGGACGTAATAGCTTTTGTTAATAAAATAGAAGTAAACATAATCCTCCAAAATCTCGTCAGATAAAGAGTTTTGCCATATTAAAAGTGGTGCTGATGGCAAAACAAGGCAGAATTTGTATCATAGTGCAATGAATCAACCTCAATCCACATAAGGATCACCGTGTTTTAATTTTTACAGTAATTAGAATCTCTTTACCGTTACGTACCTCCATTTTCATAGCTATCATAACCATGAGAGGGTCTCCAGCTTCTACCTTGTCTCCTACTTTCACAAATACCTAGAAAACCAAAGCAGGTAAAGCTTGAAAAACACAGATCCATACTAGATTTGGAGAGGAAAAGAAGACCACAGTTCAAGAGAGAGCACAGCTCCCTAGCTCCGTGGAAGTCAGCTTGTGGGGAGTTACATGATACATTAGAGCTCAGTTCTGGTACTTGTTACTGGACTATCACCATTTGCCACCGCCCCCTGTAATGCTGTAGCTGCCCCTGTTCCAAACAGCCTGGTCCTGGAGGAGTGTGTTAAGCTGGCTCTGAAAACGCCCACTGGATTGAACCTCTCTGAGGCCATAGACAGAGAACGCTGATGTGACTTGTGTGTGCCTTGACCTGAAAAGACTGAGACAGTCCAGGGGGTGCCCAAAAGCAGAACTTTAGGCACTTGGGGCATCTGACTGACAAAAATAAACCTAGGAATCCTACAAAATGAGGCTGGTTTTTGTGGACTAAGCCACTGGAATTTCACCTAAATTCCATATTAAATGCTTAATTGTTTTTGGATCTCCAAGGGTCTCCCCCTTCCTCGCCATACCGAAGCACAGCTCAATACTGAAGGCACCTTCCAGACCAGTTTTTTGACGATGTTAGCTGCCACAACAAGGACATTCCTCCCACTCCCCACAATCCAAAAAAAGGATTTTTTTTAAATAGTAAGATTAGCTAAATATTGAGAATATTAAAAAGTCTATCCAAGTCCTTTGCAGGAAAGGAAGTCTAGAGATCACTTGTTCTGCTGTCTGGAAGGCAGAGTCAGCTGAAGGCATTTTCCAGCTAAGAGAAGCCAAGACACCACATTGTAACTGAGAGGTCTGCTCTTGCCTCTTCTGGTAGAGATGAAGGCTATAGGGCCTAACCCTTTATAGGCTGTAATGGAGACATTCCCTCATGCCCATTGTTAAAATTACCTTTTCAATTGTTCCTGTCATCGGTGCTATAGCACCTCCCTGAGTTCCAGCTGCACTCACTCCAGACAAGTATTTGGGTACTGGAAGACCAATTTGAGCACTGCCTCCCTAAAAAAAATAAAATGAACATTAAGTTAATGTCATAAAACACTTTAATTAGTACAAACTCTACTTATGTGAATGCGGGCTATGGCTTATAAGTTGTTACTAAGTTTATGTTGATTTTATCTGACATTCATTGGAAAGAGATTTTAATTGTTTGATCCCTTTTATTGGGGAGAAAAAGTTCTACCAGGCAAGCTGGGAGATTTCCTCTCCGTAACTACTATTGTTAATGCAATGCAATGAAGAAGATGCCAAAGTTACTTAATGTTAGTGTTGCAAGACTGGCTAGCACCAACTCCTTGCTCCTTGAGCAAGCTTGATTAACTTTTTATTATTTAAAAAATGAAGTATATTAAAATAAAAATATCAGTTACATGATTCCTCATAAATACTTCTCAGCTGCAACTATTATAGTACCTTACTGTTGTAGTACAGTTCAAATATGATTTTTCAACATGCTATTTTTGTACATTCTCCCAATTCAGTCAACAGCATTTTATCTTTCTACAATTAAAGTACGCAGTTGTAGACCATCAGCTAACAATCTCTAATTATAGTAATCCTAGCAAGGATCAGATTAGGGACTGCTATCAAAATCTAAAATAACAATCCCTTTCTTTGCCCTTCTTACAAATTTTAGACTGCCTGCTTAAATCAATAATTCCCTGTCTTCACTCCATCTTGCTCTCCCTCCCATACATAATGAAAAAGAAAAATCTACCGGTAAGAAGAGATGAATCGTGTTGTCCAAAATGACCAGCTTGGATTTACAAACAATCCCATTTACTGAACTTCTTAGGTAAGTCGAATCTCCCTTATGAGAAATGTCTCCAGAAACAAGGAAAGTTCTCTCTCCAATCTAGAACACAGTTGGGAGTGTTAGGCATAGTCCATGTAACAGGTCCACACTGAGCTTTTCCAAATCAAATCATTAATGGCACAATTCCCACAGCACAGTACTCAGTACCATTTTCTAGTGGCAGGCTGGAATGACCTAGCTCAGGTCCAACGGGGCCTTGCACTAGTAGCTGGATGTTGCTGCTGCTTTGCCCTGTCATGGGATGGGTGAAGTTCCTCACCGCCAGAATGCTGCTGAAGCCTCTCAACTCTAAAGGCAAGATCTGACCTGTGGGCCATAGGCTGCTGACTTCTGCTTTAATGGGTAAAAAGTAACATACCCTATTTACTTGATTTGAAGATGATCCCCAGGACTATCATTATCAGGTGAACACTGGCTGGCAGGGACCACTGCAGGACTCAAGCCCTCAGGGCAGTCCCCACCAGCTGACTGCAGATCAGGACTGTCCCAGGACTCAAGCCCTGGGGCAGTCCTGATTTGCTGATGTTCAGCTGATGGTTGGCCAGCTCCAGGGGCCACACTGGGACTTGAACTGCCCCATGGGTTCCTGGTGCTTTCTGACAATCAGCTGACTGTCAGGCACCCAATGTGCTGGTGCAGGGGGAGCCTGGAATCATAATCCCAGGCTCTCCCTACACCAGAAATACTGTGCAATTGGGATCTGATTCCCAATCCCACAATCACACTTCCTGTCATGCATGTGTGGCATGGGAGGATGCACAATTGTTGGGATTGAGGAATCAGATCCCTATCTCACCTTTAGGGAACATCTGTCAGGGGCCTCAGATGCATAAATAAGGAGAAGTAAATCTTGTGCTGGTTAATACTACTTTTGTCAACTGTTTAATCTTTACATCAGAGGATTCTTACTGATGTCCAATTCCCTTTCATATTTAAAAACCCCCCAACATAACATTGCTAATGGTTTCAAGAGATTTGTCAGACTTACAATGAAAAAGAACCTATTCTGGAGGGTTTGGAGCAGAAACAGCACTTGACCCTATTTTCTTGGTAATTGCATGCTTAGGTTATATGAACTGCTAGTCTTCCCATGCTCTAAATCAAGGGTGTTAAAATCACCTTGTGCCTTGGACTGATTCCAGGCTGTAGGGTCTGGATTTAGCCCAAGGTATATGGTGGCAGCAGCAGCTTCAGCCCCACATTCCTGTACCAGCATGGCAGCTCTAGCTCTGGCACAGGTCACACAGTGGCAGCAGCAGAGGAGGTAGGGCCACAGCGGTGGCAATGCGCAAAGCAGCTGGAGTGTGACTTGATCCCCACCCTGGCCCCCTACCTCCAATGCCTTTACCATGGTAGGAAATTAAGTAAATTAAAATGGGCTCAGATGATCCCAGAAGATGACTAGATTCCACATTATAACAAAGCAAAAAAAACCCCATGGCCCATGCCAATCTGATGAGGGGAAGAATTCTGTTATGAATCCAAATTTGGCAATCAATTTGATCTTGAGTGTGGGAGCAAGACCCACTAGCCAAGCACCCAAGATATTTTTAATCCCACTGGGAACACCAGTACATCCGTCAAATGCCCAATTCTAGGTGTGGCCAATGTCCAATGGTCCAGAGGAAGGGGGAAAGAAGGCAGGAAACAACCCAAAATCCTGTAAGGCAGGCATGAGGAAAAAAATCTGTGGTCCCTGCATGTGACTGACAAGTCCCTGAAGTGTGGAAATTCCAGGTGCCCCATCACAGAGATCAAGTCTCCTTCCAGTATCTTCATGGTAATACAAAACAATCCAAATTCACACGACACACTCAGATTATCACACCAAAAAGACCCATAGTTAATCAAGCTCCATCATGAAGAAATTCAGGTTTCTTGTTTCGATCACTTTCTTCAGAAGGCCATTCCAGAACTTCATTCTCTAAGAATTAAAATCTTTCCTGTAATTCCGTCTCAATTAGTTCTTGTCCAGTTTGCATCCATTTGATCTTAAAGTACGTCTTCTCTCTCTCTGATATCCACCCCAAAAGGTATTTATAAAGAGTTTAAAGTCATCCTTTTTGAGAATGAATGACCAAAACTGCACCTTTAAACAGGACCTTACCAATGTTTTGTATCGTCATACTAATACCTTCCTGTGTCAGCTAAAGATGCCCTGTATAATCCACTCCAGAATTGCATTCGTTTTTTTCACACTGACATCATGCTAGCAATGGATGATTATCCTGATTGGTTCCTTTCTTCATGTTGCCTCCAGTAAATGAGGCTTCATCTGAAAACTGAAGTTCTTGCTTTTGTTCCCTAAACACATGACTTTGCACTTCATCCTACTCAGGTTCATGTCATTTCCGTTATTCCACTCCACTATCTCCTTCTTCCTGTACTATACGTCAATCTACCTCTATGCTGGGAATACTTCTCAGCTTAGTGCTGTTCACAGATTTCATAAGCATGCATCTAGTTCTTTCAGAGCACTAATCACATTGTGACAGCAGCAATTTAACACTTGCAGTGGATGAGTACCCTACACTAACGACAGTTCCTTGTGAATTGCATAACAGTTAGTTGGGCTCCATAAAAAATCTATTTTTTAAAAAAAATGATGCGCCGTTTACTTTCCAATTAGTAGGGGTCTACCCAAGTTAAGGAGGTGGCTGGCCAATTTTGCAGGCAGACTGCAGGACCAGCCGCCATTTTCGAGGGCTTAACATGGCTGCCCCCTGCAGCTGACTGGTGGAGCAGGGTATCCATCGTACAGCCCCGCCCTTTGCCACTGACTGGCTGAGAGTTGTCCACCAGGCAGCCTCACCCCTCATTGCTGACTGGTGCAGAGTGGCAGGGCCACATGACAGGCAGCCTTCTCAACCAATCCGTGGCAGGGAGTGGGGACAGCAGCCAACTTACCTGCTTGCCTTCATGGCAGCAGCTCCCCTCCCTGCTCTCCCCCAGGGTGGGCTGTGTGGCCAGGAGGGCTGCTGGCTCCTCCTGGGGAACCACATTTTATTTTTAGTAAGGTTTTTTTCCCCCCATTGATTTCACAAAGATTGCCTGATTTTGCAATTTCCAGGAAATCCATGCAATCGTGATTTGGGTAGGTCTCTACCAATTAGCAAGTCTTAAATGTCTACAGTACTGAAAAGCCTGGTCCATTGGCTCTTCTAGGGGAATCCTCATCACAAACCGTGGAAAAGGCTCAGCAAAACACAGCCATACAATATTCCTACAGAAGACCAGCAAGAATTTAATAGAAACCATTCAGAGCACTCAGCAAATTGCACCCTCTGGATCCAGCATTTATAACTAGCTCTAACAATATCTGCCTTTACTTTAACTTACTCTGAAGTAATACTTCAGTTTGGCTACCACAATAGGTTTGGATTATGCTTTTCAAACACAAACTCTTTACCCTTGCAGGCTGAAAATACAACACAAATTATAACATGTCAAGTACAATAGTGAGGGCAGAGAGGAATGGGAAGGAGACTACTTATGGAGTGTTACATTCATAACTATGAAGTAGACACATCTTTATAACAGTGAAGGAAAGTTTCAGTGAATGAGTAAGTTTTTTGTAACACTTTCATCTAATGCATTGGGAGTTCTACACCAATAACAACTTTAGCATAGGACCAAGATACTGAGGAAAAACTTCTTAAGAGCATTTCCCTGACCCTTCTGGTATTGTGTTTCTCTTAACTGACTTTAATGAGTACAGGATCAAGGTCCTGAAATCCATTAAATACGTTATGAAGGGCAAAGATTGTATTTAGGGCTTTGTACATGCTTCTTCTGCTGCCAGACTGACCACAGTCAGATCAGCTGGGGTAAAGAAATCTTGGTTTAAAAACTTCTAGAACTAGAGAATCCACCATAGGTCTTAATAAAATGTTCTCATGTTAGAGTGGTTAAAATTGTCTTTGAGACTCAAAGACCCTCTTCTATAAAATTTCTTCTCTTCGCATGAGGATCCACAACCAGAAGTCATGAAAAGCATCCACACAAGCATCCACACCAGAAGACAGGCAGGCGATCCAGGCTGACCTGGACAGGCTCAGCAAATGGTCGGACGAGAACCTGATGGTGTTTAACACTGAAAAAATGCAAGGTTTCTCCACCTTGGGAGGAAAAACCTGCAGCATCCTTATAGGCTCAGCAGTGCTACGCTGGCTAGCACTATGGACGAAAGGGACTTGGGGGTCATCAGTGACCACAAGATGAACATGAGCCTGCAATGTGATGCTGCGGCTAGTAAAGCGACCAAAATGCTGGCTTGCATCCATAGATGCTTCTCAAGCAAATCCCGGGACGTCATTCTCCCCTTGTACTCAGGCTTGGTGAGGCTGCAGCTGGAGTACTGTATCCAGTTGTGGGCTCCACAACTCAAAAAGGATGTGGAGAAGCTTGAGAGAGTCCAGAGAAGAGCCACGTGCGTGATCAGAGGTCAGGAAAACAGACCTTATGACAACAGGCTGAGAGCCATGGGGCTCTTTAGCCTGGAAAAGCGCAGGCTCAGGGGTGATCTGATGGTCACCTATAAGTTTATCAGGGGTGACCACCGAGATCTGGGGGAACGTTTGTTCACCAGAGCGCCCCAAGGGATGACGAGGTCGAATGGTTATAAACTACTACAAGACCGTTTCAGGCTGGACATAAGAAAGAATTTCTTTATTGTCTGAGCCCCCAAGGTCTGGAACAGCCTGCCATCAGAGGTGGTTCAAGCACTTACATTAAACAACTTCAAGAGTAAATTGGATGCTTATCTTGCTGGGATCCTATGACCCCAGCTGACTTCCTGCCCTTTGGGTGGGGGGCTGGACTCGATGATCTTCCGAGGTCCCTTCCAGCCCTAATGTCTATGAAATCTATGAAATTTGTATGTTAAACAATTTACCCCACCTCCTTTTTGATAATCTCAATAGATTGAGCTCTTTCTAATCATTCTTGTGGGCCTTCTTCCACAGCATCTTAGCTTTTTTATCAGATGTGCCTCCCACCCTCTCTAACTTCCTGTCCTTCTGATACTCAGTCCCAGCCCCATCTTCCTTCCAGCTCCTTACTGACCAAAGCCCAGCTCCCAGTCACAGCTTCTTGGCCCAGCCAGTCCTAGTGATCTTCCACACCTACCCCCAGGTTCCTATTTCCCCTCTCCTTATTTGCCAGCCTCCAGCCCTAGCCTCTCCCTTTCACCAGACTTCTCATTCCAACTTCCTTCCTCATCCACGGAGTCTGATTATATCTTGTCTGCATTCAAACTGGACAGTTTTTATCTATACTGCATGGGCTTACTCCTAAGGGGGTGAAGCATAAAAAGACAAGTCCTTTCCTTTCCATTTAGGTACATGATTCTACAAGAAGCACAGCTTGGAGCTGCAATAGTACAGCATGTCCTACTCAGCCACTGACTGAAACATGCCTAAAGCAGGTAGAATTTCAGTAAATGTAACTGTTAAAAATCAAAGAAACATTGACAGAACATGTGCAAACTGCAATTTCCAAAATCTTATACCATGGCTACATTTGGATGGATTTTCAGGAGACAGCAAAAGGCCCATCTAACGCAAAGGCCCTCCCTGTCAACTTTCAAGTCTCAGCTCTGAAGTGTGGAGGCCCTAAGAGCTGTTCCAAGGGAAGGTTGCCATAATTTTTTAAAACAGGCAACAGGTTTATTTCCCTAGCTTCCATCTCAGGAACAGCTAAATCATCGTGACTGAAAATTTACAATAAATTCAGCCTGGGGCAGACATTTAGTAGAGAAAAGTTCTCGCCAAACAATTAAAGTTTGACTGCTTTAAGCAACTGAAAACAGGGTCTTATAATGAGAAGTGTCAGGTAACCTTGATACATAGTGACACCAGCCAACCTGGAGTAAGAAATATACAACATATGAACTTTATTTATAAGATACTGAAGAGAAAATAAGACTTTACCTGCATGTTATATGAACCATCATGATTGTAATTTACAGTTATGTCCACATCTGTTTAATAAAAGTATTAAAAAACAAGATTTACTTACAGGACTTGTGGGAAAATGAAACAGGAAAAGAGTTCAAAACATCCTTGCAACACACAAAAAGTAGTTTTTAAATAAAGTCACTAACATTTTAAGATCAGCCCAGCAAGAACTAAGCAGGGTTATCCTGACATTTCGATCTACATTTTCAAAGGTGAATACCTAAAGACAGGTTCTTAAATCCACAACTCGGCACCTCAATCAAGGCTTTAAAGAATTCAATGAAGTCAACAGGAGCTGCAGTTGTTCTGCTACCCTGAAAATGTGACCATCTTTATTTAGATGCCTAAATATGGAGTGACAAGTTTGAACTTAAGGACATCTTTTAAAAAATGTAGCCTATATGCACAGACATTGTTATCTTTAAACATGCTGATGAAAGCTTGTGATCCTTAAAATTATTTTCTACTTTTGTTTACTATTACCTTTTTGCAATATTTGTATGGGGGTTGAAATAACCTGGTCTCTTGAACATATTTTACTCGCAACTAATCACTTACTATTTTCACCATCCAGAAGAGTCATGTTTCTAGTGAATGATATATTTAGTCTTCTACCACTGCTGGAAGCAAATGGTGAGAACTTATCTGAAATACAAGATATATAAGCATATATACAGTCAATGTGCATTAAAATTATAAAAAAAATCCCACAAAACACAAAGCATTTACACTGCACTTCTCATTTTCAAAACTCTTTATTAATAATTACTAAACATTTATGTTGTATCTAAAGGCCTTAATCTTGTTGGGACTCTGTTGCACTGTACTGCTGTACAAAGTTAGTAATAGTCCTTGCTCCAAACAGTTTACAATCTATGTGTTATGCATAACTCCAGAGGAGAGACACAAGTGGACCAGGAGCAAATTGTTATAGTACGCTCTAGGTGAGGGCACTATTCTTAGACTGTTATTAATAACCTGCTACCTGTCTACCCCATTACCAGATGGCACTTGTCATCTAGAGGATGGCACTTGATAACTAGAGCACATCCTCCCTTTTTTATACATATGAAAATTAACACACCAAAATTACAGATTCAAGATACTTCCCAAAGAAGTCAATGGAAATCTCTGCACTGATCTCAGTGGGTATTGGATTAGGTGACTTTTAATGCAACTAGGTCACCCTAGTAGTGCCAACAGTCGAACTCAGAAGTTCACAGTTATTAATGCCATGCTCAATCTACCAAAAGCACTGGTTACCTAAGCTGTGTTTTACAGACTACTGGTCTCTGAGGCCCTGGTTAAGTGGTCCACAGCTGGTCAGTGGATAAAGGGTGGTGTTGCCCAATGCAAAAGTTCCTAAATCTCTGATTGCTGGAACTTGCAATAGGAGAGAAGGGGAAGGAAAATTCTGGACATGCCCTGTTCACTTTGCTCCTCAGCATTTGTACTCTGCCACTGTAAGAGATGGGCACTGTAATACAAGGCAGAAGGAGAGCTGTGTGTTCCTATCTGAAAGTATCATGGCTACCTTCCCTCCCATGACATATTTAATCTTAGTCACCAAAAGAAGGCTGTGCCTTGCCTTCTCAGTGGATTCTACAGTAGACAGTAGGCAGATGTTAAAAGGAGTGACCTTAAACAGTAAACAATGAGGCATAAAAAACTAAAAGTATTAAAAATATGGACAAGAGTTCAGATCTGCCTCACCCTGTCATAAGGAAGAGTGAGCCTTACCATTGGACTGATCTCTAAACACATCGGTCATCATTTTCTCTTTCAGGATGAGTCCCAGAGCCGCCTGACACACCACCTCATTATGGGTTGCCTTTCTGCTTGGAAACAATTCGTCATGGTGTTGAGGAATGAAATTGGTGTGTACATTTCCAGCCTCAAACTGTGAGTGTCCTGACAACCTCAGTAAGAAATCGATATTGGTGCTTAGTCCTACAATCTGTCAAAAAAGAAGGATGTTCCCAAATGAGAATAAAGAGCTAGAAATGGACATACAGTTCTCTGTTCAAATGGCACATGAGATAAGTTTTCCTAAAAAGTGCCATTAATGTAATATAGCATTTATAAGAGAAAGTGTATTCCCATTAATATATGGTTGATTACCTAAGAAAACATCCTGGGAAAAAAGGAAGCTAGGATGTTAAAAAAAATGTTTTTTTTCCAGGTTTCCCCAAACTTCTCCTCCACAGAAGTCACCAGAAGATTAACCCATAGTTATTAAAAGGAAAGAGGTCAATGCTCAATGTTTTGAAAATTCTCAAATATTTGAAGGAACACTGCCAACTTGAAATAGAAATTATAAAAAAAGTTCAAAACTGTTTTAGATGTAATACCTGTGCTAGCCCCACAATTTCCCTTTATTATTGTAATTATTAGTCTCTCCTCCCCCACATTGCTACAGTTGAGGTAGAAATGGACCTGAAGTTGCACTGGATTAGCTGTACTCACATTATATTGATGAAGGCTGTACCGTAACTTCCTTAATGCTGCTTGGCGATCCTCAGCCCAGACAACTAACTTAGCAATCATAGGATCATAGTACACAGAAACTTCATCACCTACAGCATAAAGGAAACCATTCTAAGTTATTGAGGCACACCTTCCGAAGGGAGGCATGTTTGGTGCTGTGCAGTATATGCAATAACTGGTAATGCACAGATAGACACTGTGCACTGCATGGCCAGAGCAGAAATTCAGGTTTGATTTGTGGACCAGTCTTTCAAATGCCAAGGCCAGTCTGCTTTGGCATGTAGCAGAGATATAGCTCTTCATCACTAAACTTTCCTGAAGAAGGTGCCATACTGACAGGCTATGAAGGGAGTCTGTCTGATCTGCCTATCCCAAAGGAGTGATAATCAGAGTGAAAAAGGAAATAACAAAATATTCAAAGATCCAACACAGCAACACAGATACAGTTATGTCGTAAGGAAGACGAATGTGCCAGTTGTGTATCAAATTACCTATTTGTAATTATGGTAAAATTATTGGGGACAAGTTCTGTCTCAAATATGCATAAGCACAAGACCAAAAGGCCACAGTCACTCAAAATAATTGCTTGAAGAGCACATTTAAAAAGAATAATCTGTATTTTCAATACTGTCTTTAGTTTTACCTTGTCTGACACCAGTTTCTATCCTGGTGAAACTGTCAGGTGGTGGTGTAGACAAATGCAACAAGGGTCCAGCCCCTGGCATGAAATTATTGCTAGGATCTTCGGCATAAATTCTAGCTTCAAATGCATGGCCCCGGAGTGAAATTTCCTCCTGTGCTAGAGGAATCTTCTCTCCTGCTGCAACCTGAAGGCAGAAGAGTAATTTTCTTTTTATCTAGAAGCAACTTTAACATTTGCAGTAGGGCACTAGCAGATAGGTACAGATCTCTGGTCTCTCACTCCCTTTATATACTGTGCACATACACACTTTTCATAGAAAACTACCAATGAAAATACATTAGATGCACAATTATGCAATTGCAGCATGTAGTCAAGATGTTTACAACTGTACACCAATAGAAGCAAGTGTAAATTGCCATGCAGCATGATAGGTAAGGAATTAAAAAGAACACTGCTCTAGAAATAATAAGTACTTTAGCACTTGAACCAGAAAACCAGTCAGTTTGCAATACACTGATTATTTTGATCTTGTTTTAAGCCTAAATTCATCCATGATAACCAATCTCTCTCTCTCTCTCGTTTTAAGGTATCAAATGCCCCCCAGAAAGAAAAGTCATAATACACTACTATGTTTGTGATATCAGTCTACTGTTCTAGAAATGAAAGTGATACCACAAATGCTATACTGTTACTTGATATTCTGATCATGAAGGAAAGGAAGATGGGCTGGAGAAAAAGTACATGAGTAATGGTAAATGTGGTACAAAAAGGAGCGTAAAAATAAAGTGCTGGATGAAAAGATTTGGGTGTTTACTCTGGAGTTTACTCTCAAATACAATAAAGTTACTCTTCTTGTCTTTTCCAGGAAAATAAAAACACAATTTAAAGTTTGTTGAGAGATGATTCTTTCAAATGTTTTATTATTGCAAACTGTGCAACATTCAGTACAGATGAAGTACAATGTTTTCATATCCTCCTACTGCAGTGGTTATATTAAAGAAAAGGAACTCAAAGTGACTTTATAAAGCACTGGAAAACAAAGGCCTGATTACCTGGAATAGTAGATTAGGGAAACAAAAATCCCTCTCAGTGACTGGAAAAAACTTGTTAATTGTCATCGTATAAATATTTTACTATTTCAAAAAGGGATTCACAAGAGGCATTTCTAATAATACTGGATTTTTTAAACTAAGAGATAATTATGAATTCAGGCTGCCAATCTAGAAGTGAAGGAAAACAAAACAGTTTTAGGGTGAGCCAGAAAGCCTTATAAAGGCAAAATACCACAAAGAAACCTGTAGTATTTAACATGGTCAGTTAGCTAAAATGGAAGCCTTAAATCAGATCCCTTCCCAATGCTGATCTCACCAGTGACACTTCCCATCCATAACAGAAATCTAAATTCTTCCCAGTCAAAGTTGTTTAGTAACTTATACTACCACGCAGGACCACAGAGGTTTTCTAAACTCTTCCTACTGAACTTCATGGAGATCAATAAATACATCAGACTAAGCCTGCAAATTCACATAATCTCTTTTCACCTGATTATGTGTGGCCGCTATTTTTTTGTACTACCACTGTCATCAGGCCACAGTCATGAATCTCTTTTTAGCCCTTTCCATTTCCCCTCTTCCCCAGCAATGTTTGCATCTATCCCAGCACATCACTCTACTATTCTCAACAATCACTTCTGGACTAATGATCCAAATCCCAACTCTCCTTGCTTCAACATTCTTGTATCAAGCAGTCATTTTGCCTGTTTTTTCCAGCTTTTCTTCACCCTAGTGACATGTTCCATTTCTGAACTTTGGTGCTGCCCAGGACCCCATTGCCCAAACTGCTTTGTACCCATAACCATGATGTTCTCTTCACTCACGGCTTCCATCGCTCTGTGTTATTCTTTTCTCCCCAGCTCCTGGAGATTCAAAACTTTGTCATCCTTAGCAGATATGAAGAGAATTGTCTCTGCAGAATATATGATGGATGTGTCAGGCTCCTGTCCACACAGGTATAAATTAATTTCTGTTAAAGGGTAAGTGTCTACAGAGAGAATACCCGACCTCCTCTTTTGTGAGGAGTTTTGTTCCTCTGGCCCTGGCTTCACGCATTGTCTGGGTCAAAGAAACAATCTGCATGTTAAAAATGGAGCTACTAAAGAGTATTCAGAAATTTAAGGATAAACTTAAGAGCTTCCTGCTTCCATTCCCCACATGCTAAATAATACTGTTAAATACCTGATTATCACCTGTCCTTTCTTATGACACTTTAACACACTCCATATTGTAAGGAGCACTTTAAATTCACTTTGGAGCCTGTTTATAATATTTCTCTATCAAAGAAAGAAAAAGGAGGATGTTGTGGAGCACGAGAATTGATCACAAATACGAAAGTGAGATCAGCTTCTAAAACTACTTGTGGGTCTCCAGCAATCAATAGTGAGGACCACTGTCCTACCAGAGCACCACAGAGAACCTACCTACCCATACTACCCCTTACAATTAAAAATAGTTAACCCCTTACCCTAAGCTGCCACTCCACCAAGTCTGTCCCTGTGATCATCTCAGTAACTGGATGCTCCACTTGAAGCCTGGTGTTCATCTCCATGAAGTAGAAGTTATGTTGAGAGTCCATAATAAATTCCACAGTCCCTAAAATATCAAATATGGGCACATTTCACTGAGAAAAGAAGGTGGTGTTCTTCCTCTACAAATATTTAGCATTTTGCAGTTTGACAAAGATGTTCTGACAAAATTGGAGAGTTATGTTAATGGTTGAGCATCAGGTCAAAAACTAGACTACCAGAAGCCACTGGATCAAATCCCAGCATAACAGATTAATAGAGTGGCATTGAGTTCAATGCAGTTTATCTTAAAAGCCCACTTAAGTAGAGACCTGGAAACTCCAAGTCCTGCCTATATTGTAATAGATTTGGATTCTGTGCTTTTCAGCTGCAACCCGGATCTACAAGAATAGCTGTATCTCAGTCTTGCAGTAAGTATGCCATTTATAAAGTGCTTCAGAAATAACTGTACTCTACTAATTAAAAATAAACATTTTCCCCAAAGTTTATCTTCAGCCACATTAGAGGGGTTAGTATTTTATAAACTGATCTTTGTCTAGTAAACACACTAGAAACCACAGTGATCTTCCATGGGTTTCTTTTTTTAAACATGACCTTGCAGTTTGTACACTGATATTGTGTTCTTTGCAGTATGAAGGATAAATCATTTCCCTTTATTTTGCTCTCATAATCTTATGTGTATTTATAAAAAATTTATTTTCAAATATGAAATTATTAGTCTGAATTATTTCTTTTGAGACTTCTTAGCCTTTTCTGTTTAATATTCCCCTACCACCTTTGGCACAAAATTCATACCAACTTTCATTAGTTTAACAATTCAACTCAAAATTAACTGTGTGATTATCTATTTACTACACTGGATACAATTATCCGGCTATGCAAGCGTGCTGAGTTAGACTTATTGTGTTGACATTCTTGTTAGCTTAGAGTGATATATGTTTAAGTACCTTTTTTTAATTTGTATCCTTATAGTGATAAAGGCTTTTGGCTCTGCATTACATCAAGCTATGAATCCATCATTCTTACGGCCTATGTTAATCTGCTTAGGAAACATCAGAATCTACTGATCCCACGAACGATGCTTAAAATGGAAATAGGATAATTTGAGGATGATCGATGAAAAAGGAAATAGTGGAAACGTAAAAGATGTGCCTAAGTAATGATTCAATGGGTAAAAAAATGCGTAAATGGTGATAGGCAGACAAAGTTCTTTGGGTAAATCTGATATCTTGTATAAAAGATATTGGATTTACCCAAAGAATCTTGTCTGCCTATGTCCTAAGACCAAAATGGCTACAACCTACACCCCTGACACAAGCGGTGATGGCACAGGACAGTTCACGGGAGTAACACAGCCCACATATGCCTCAGGATTAGGTAACTGATCAGGACTCGATTCTGCTTTACCTGCTGTGTTGTTAAAAAAGTTCAGTTAAAAGGTGACAAAAAGTGTTCTTAAACTACTTTAATTAAGTAAGCTTGAAAATTAGGTGTGGACTACATCCTTCACTCAGCATGACCGACTTAGAAAAAATGTCACATGTGTATGAGGTTCCAAAACAAGAAAATGTGACTTGAAGTTCACAGTTCTATTAAACTAAGTGACCTGCACCGGAAGGAAGTTAAATCTGACCTACCTGCTCCCACATATTTCACTGCTTTAGTTGCTCTGACGGCAGCTTCTCCAAGCTTCTTTCGGACTTCAGGACCAATTCCTGGCTATGAATGTATTAATACAAAAGATTAAAACATACTGTAACTCTTACAGATTCCACAGGTGTAATATGTGGCTAGTATGCCATCTTTGGAAAACTGACAGAATCCTTAACCACACTGTATTTAAAATCTAATTCTATAGATTACTTATGCTTTCTTTTAAAAGTTTTGCATAAATTTAGCCATTTAGGAACTGTTCTAGAACACTAGACCTCCAGTCTGCATAAACCAGTGCCTGGATTCTGATAGTGATCAAAGCTTCAGAGTCTCTACAATATATCTACCCGTGTAAAAATCTTAACGGCAATAAACTGTTTCCTGACCCAAGCGGCAGTCACCCTAAATCCTGAAAAAAATCAAGAAGTCTTGATAAATTAGGAAAAATAAGCATAATATAAATAATACATATTGGACAAGTGTTTTTTCCCCTTGTTCTAGAAGATCAGATACCAGCAACAACCCAAAGTAGACTTCTACGAGTAGATGGCTTAATGGTCTAATTCCATCTAGGAAAATCATGTCCACAGTTTTTGGTTTGTTCTCAGAGCTCATCAACAAGAACAGTTATTTTCTGTAACAAATTCTAAACATGTCTTAAGACTTCTTAATGTACCACCCAGCAGATACTGCTATATATAGCAGAGCGGCAATTTAAAATCATGTTAGTTTATTACATCCGTTTAGGAACCCTCTGCTTACCCCTGGAGCCTCTTCAATGATTTTCTGGTGTCTTCTCTGCACACTGCAGTCTCTTTCAAACAAATAGACTGCATTGCCATGCTGGTCACCAAACACCTGGACTTCAACATGCCTGTTTCACAGTAACAAATGTTTCAATGTATTTTACCAAAGATTCCTAAGGCCCCAATCTACAGCACGTTGCAATGAGCCAAACCCTTACACATGTATGCAGCCCCAATGATTCCAGCAGGGTGCCATACAGATGCAGAGCCCCACACTGGCTCAGTCCACTGCAGCAACAGGGCCTTCCCTCAACAGGAGGGTGTTAACAGCTAGAGCTAACCACTGCCTAGAGCTACTAGTTCCAATGGGATTCTGAACACTACAGTCGTTATACTGAAACATGGCAAATTGAAAAACAAACCCATGGAAATAAACATCCAGCACCTGATACTTCTGTATTTTTTTTCTGGTCCCAATACATTTTTTTCTACATTACATCTGGGAATTGTGTACTTACACATTGGTCCTTTGGTTCTTACCCCTCCTCAGACTCAGGGGTAATTTGTAACATTTCAGGGGACCAGCTGGTAGTTTGTGACAGTTTGGCAGTGATTTCATAGATTTCATAGACATTAGGGCTGGAAGCAACCCTGGAGGATCATCGAGTCCAGCCCCCTGCCCCAGGCACAGGAAGTCAGCTGGGGTCATAGGATCCCAGCAAGATAAACATCCAAATTTCTCTTGAAGGTGTTCAAAGTAGGTGCTTGAACCACCTCTGATGGCAGGCTGTTCCAGACCTTGGGGGCTCGGACAGCAAAGTTCTTCCTTATGTCCAGCCTGAAACAGTCTTGCAGCAGTTTATAACTGTTTAACCTTGTCATCCCTTGGGGCGCTCTGATGAACAGACATTCCCCCAGATCCTGGTGAACACCCCTTACAAACTTACAGGTGGTCATCAGATTGCCCCTGGGCCTGCGTTTTTCCAGGCTGAAGAGTCCAATAGCTCTCAGCCTCTCGCCATAAGGTCTATTCTCCTGACCTCTGATCATGCGCGTGGCTCTTTATCACAGGCTTGAATCATCCCCCTTGCACAATGAGGCAGAGAGATTAAGTGACTTGTTTAGGGGCATAAATGAAGTCGATGGAGTCAGGAATGGAGAGTGTCAGTCTACTGGCAACTAAATATCTGTGTTTGAGCACTCTAGACAACACTTCCTCCAGACTTAAAAGAACAGTGAGGTTAAAATCCTGCTGTAATGATGAGGCATTTTGCGTTCTTAACTATAGACATTGTGTGATATCTGGGATACACTCTACAATTAGAATTAGACAGCTGCTACCATGTCAAAACAGCTAGATTTATGTTACACATTGTTATAATTCATAGTTACAATGATCCATTCAATACTTTGTTAAATTAACAATTCTGCCTGTTACTATTGAAGTGTCACAGTACATACAAATGGTGTAAGAGAGACTATTATTTTATATAAACATAGCAGTATAGCTCTTAAACACATCTTCAGTATTAAAATATTTATTTCTCTTACCTTGGATTGTCTACAAATTTCTCTATCAGCATAGCATCATCATTGAAAGATTTCTTTGCTTCCCTTCTGGCTGATTCCAGCTGGTCCAGAAACTCTTTTTCTGAATGAGCAATTCTCATGCCCTAAGATGTAACAGATCCATATCTAAATATCTACCAAAGAACAAGTCAATTATAAATATATATATATTTTTAAAAATCCACCACTGGTTGATTACAACAATTAAAATGCATTTATTTAACAATAAAACAATTTTGCTGCTTCTTATTCATCAACAGAATCATAGAAATGAAGGGCTGGAAGGGACCTCAAAAGATCGAGTCCAACCCTCCTGCTCTGGGCAGGAATACTGCTGAGATCAAATGATGCCAGCAAGGTGTCTTGTTGAGTCTCCTCTTTAAGACTTCCCAGGTTGAGGACTGCAGCACCTCCTTACGAAGTCTATTCCAGATTTTGGTCATCCTTACCATAAAGAAGTTCTTGCTTACATCCAACCTGAAACCATCCTCTAACACAGAGGTTCTGAACCGGGGGTACATGTATCCCCAGGCAGTACGTGAGATATATTTTATACATTGTCTAACACAGGTTGAAGGGCCTAAACAATTAATTTCCCAATGAAAGGGGGTACATGAAGTCTCACTCTGAGACCAAGGGGTAGGTCGACTGAAAATGTTCAGAACCGCTGCTCTAACAGTTGACATGTGGGGGGACATGGGCACACTAGAAGGAAGCAACAGGCTGCAATCTGACCTAGACAGGTTACAAGGGTGGGCGGATGAGAATAGGATGGTTTTCAACACAGACAAGTGCAAGGTGATGCACCTGGGGAGGAACAACCGGCACCATACCTACAAGTTGGGGAACTCCCCTCTTGTCAGCATGGAGGCGGAAAAGGATCTTGGAGTCATCACTGACTCCAAGATGAACATGGCTCGGCAGTGTGGGGAGGCAGTTAGGAAGGCCAACCGTACCTTGTCATGCATCCACAGATGCATTTCAAGCAGGTCAAAACAAGTGATCCTTCCCCTCTATGCGGCACTGGTTAGGCCGCAGTTGGAGTACTGTGTCCAGTTCTGCGCGCTGCACTTCAAGAGGGATGCGGACAGCATCGAGAGGGTCCAGAGGAGGCCACTCGCATGATCAGGGGGCAGCAGGGCAGGCCCTATGAGGAGAGGCTACGGGACCTGAACCTGTTCAGCCTCCACAAGAGAAGGCTGAGGGGGGATCTTGTGGCCTGTTATAAACTAGTCTGGGGGAATCAGCAGGCATTGGGGGAGTCACTGTTCCCCCGAGCACCGCCAGGAGTGACCAGGAATAACAGTCACAAGCTGGCACAGGGTAGGTTTAGGTTGGACATCAGGAGGTGCTATTTCACGGTCAGGGCAGCTAGGGTCTGGAACCAACTTCCAAGAGAGGTGGTACAGGCTCCTACCCTGGGGGGTTTTAAGAGGAGGTTAGATGAACACCTTGCTGGGGTCGTTTGACCCCAGTACTCTTTCCTGCCATGGCAGGGGGTCGGACTAGATGATCTGCTCAGGTCCCTTCCGACCCTAGAAACTATGAAACTATGACATTGCTCTTTGTCCTCCCCTGGGGCACCCTAGTGAATAGTTTTTCTACTAGCTCCCGATATTCACCCCTTACATACTTACAGATGGCCAAGTCCCTTAACTTCCAATCAATTAATTTTCTGTAAACATCTCACTTAAAGTATCACTAAGGATATAATTAAACAGTCATGCGCTGTGCTGGAATAATTGAGAATAGAATTCAATTTGACTTTTGAACCCCGTAGTGAATTTTCAGGACTTGTAGACAGAAGAAAAAACATTGTTTTTCTTGAGTAGGTAAATACAGTAGTTTGAGAAATCCTACAGACAAATCTGGAATCCCACAATGTCATTTTTACACAGTCACCTTTCAAAGCAGAATCGGATTCAGTCAGCAGGGTCCCTGTGGAATAAATATCTGTTGGCTGCTGGCTGGTTACCAGCTATTTCTAAGAGTCCATTCAGCAATCTCAACTCTAAAGCCACAATTAAAAATCACAACAAAGGCCACCATTACACAATGATTAAACCTCATGTGACCTCATAATACACCATGGGCCAAATTCTCTGCTTGTGTGAAATGTTCCAAGCCTGTTTAAGTCCAGCCCCCTACCCCCGGGACAGGAAGTCAGCAGGGATCATAGGATCCCACCAAGATAAGCATCCAAATGTGTCTTGAAGGTGTTCAAAGTGAGTGCATGAACCGCCTCTAGTGGCAGTCTATTCCAAACCTTGGGGGCTCGGACAGTAAAGAAGTTCTTCCTTATGTCTAGCCTGAATATTGATTTATATTAGTCAAACTATTTGGCCCAAGATTGTGAATTTTCACTTCCTTTTAGTCAATGATATGTTGAACATTATTTTATTAACTTAACAGCAATTCTGTTCCTGTTAAGATTCCTTTTACAGAATTCAGGTACAAGCAACAGAAGGCATTACACACTTCAGTTTAGCACAACTTCACTTCACATAATAAACAAATCTGCAGTAGTATCCCTACCTTTCCTCCTCCTCCACGAACAGCTTTAATCATTACTGGATACCCAATTTTCTTGGCATGTTCTTTTAGACATTCATCAGACTGATCTTCACCATGATAACCTTCAACGACAGGAACCCCAGCAGCAGACATTATCGCCTTGGAAGTGCTTCAAAAGAACATTATTTTTTTTTTGTTTAAAAGCGCAACAATAATGCTTATTTCTTACAATAGGCCCCAGATGCACAAACACTTTTTTACATGCTTAACTCTGTTCATGGAAGTAGTTCCACTGACCTGACTTCAGCAGTGCTACTCACGCTGTGCACAAAGTAATTTTTGTATTGCTTAAGAAAACCAAAGAAATGGGATATGCAAGTGTGGACATTACACTAGTTAAAATAAACTATACACATTAATATGCATTATAAAATCAATCTCAATGGAGGCACCAAATTATTTTGAACAATACTATATGTAAACTACTGTAATAACGTTCGTTTCTTTTTTAAAGTGTCATTGGTTGAGCAGCTGCTAATATCCACCTCCATGATCCGTACTTTTTGCCCTGGAAATTCTCTTAGGCCCAAGGAAGGTAAAATAGGATTCCTTCTAGAGCCCAAGAAAACCATTCTATATCAGCCACATATGCCTCTACAGAGACCTCAGACTCTCCATTCCACCACCATGGACAGAGCTCCCACAGTCATACTAGTGCTATCCTACCCAACGTGCAAGACAGCAGACCTGGATCTTGAACCTAGATCTTTCCATATAATCATACAAAGTACTAATCCCACTATTGTATGCAGTGATTGCTATATTTTATGACACGATCTTATTAACTGAAAAATCTGGAATGGTCCCATAGTTGCATTAATTTTAGAACTATGAAAAGTGTATAGCTATTCCATTCTCTTCTGCACAAGATACAACAAAAGTGCAAAGAGCAAATTATGTAGCAAACAGCTTCAGTAAGCTTGTAAATTACACAATGCAGTGAAAAATAAAGCAGAAACTGGTACCTCTTTATACCCATATCTCTGATAGCAGATGAAGGAGGACCTATGAAGATGATTCCCTCTTGCTTGCACAACTCTGCAAACTCTGTATTTTCTGAGAGGAAACCATAACCTGGATGTATAGCCTAAAACAATATGACAATTACCACATTTTGTCATAGAATCACAGAAAATTAGGGTTGGAAGAGACCTCAGGAAGTCATCTAGTCCAACCCCCTGCTCAAAGCAGGACCATCCAGACAGGGCTTTGTCAAGCTTGGCCTTAAAAACCTCCAACTAGAGATTCCACCACCTCTCCAGGTAACCCGTCCCAGTGCTTCACCACACTCTTAGTGACAAGGTTTTTCCTAGTATCGAACCTAAACTTCCCTTGCTGCAACTTGAGACCATCGCTCCTTGCTCTGTCATCTGTCACCACTGAGAACAGGGCAGCTTCATCCTCTTTGGAAACCCCCTTCAGGTAGTTAAAAGCTGCTATCAAATTCCCTCTCAGTCTTCTCTTCTGCAGACTAAATAAACTCAGTTCCCTCAGCCTCTCCTCAGAAGTCATGTGCCCCAGCCTCTGAATCATTTTTGTTGCCCCCCATCCCAACTCCCACTCCCCCCCCCAAAATTGGACACACTACTTCAGATGCGGCTTCATCAGTGCAGAATAAAGGGGAATAATTACTTCCTTCAATCTGCTGGCAATGCTCCTACTAATAATGCAGCCCAGTAAGCTGTCAGCCTTCTTGGCAACAAGGGCACACTGTTGATTCATATCCTAACATAACTTACAAAATCCTAAAATTACAGCTTATGTAGAGGATGGGGGGAAAATGTGGAATAGAATCACCAGAGGTAAAACATAAGCATAAATATTCTGTTTATAAAGGATATATATGTATCAGAAGAGTTGAGTCACAAAGATAAGGTATTACGCCAAAAGTTAACTTTAAAGGAAATTGTTTTTTCATGTTTTATGTATGCTATTTACAGCCTGATCCTACAAAAAGTTACCCATACCCACAGGAATACAGTTAGTCTGTGACTTCAGAGGAACTCTGCTTGAAAATATCTACATCCATGAACAACACAACGGGATCAAGCCTTTAGATTATAAATTCATTCCAACTGTGCAAATTAACTAAGAACATTTTTGTAGATCCACACTATATACCTAGGCCTTGCAACATTATATGCCACTAGGGTAACACCTGCAGAAACACTGAAGTGATTTGGGAGCCAATCTTTTTAAAAATCCGGTTTTTTTAAAGTGACAAGAAACTTAAGATCTAAGTCTCATTTAAATTATTTTGGATACTTTAAAGACTGTTACTCTGCATACATATATAATATCTCAAAAATACTATTTGATCACAACAATTTTTTTAACTACTTTATGATGTGAAAGAAATAATAAGCAAAGAAAGACACCAAGAGGATAATGTGTTTACATACATAGAATAAGATATGTTGCATCTTATATAAAAAAGCATTTAGGATACTTGCCATGACTGTTTAATCCTCACTTTTTAATCTGCAAAAATCCAAAGATTAAATCCAGCAACTCAGCTGAATTTTCACACACATGCAGAAGAACACATTCACACCACATTTCTTAAAAACAGAAGTGTAATCGTTTACAGACCCCCTGTATCAGCTGTGTGTAGTTCTGGGGGTAATGCAGTTATATTTACCTGTGCTGCTGACTTTTTGGCCACCTGCATTATTTTTTCCATGGATAAGTAACTCTGTTGAGAGGCTGCTGGGCCAATGAAATATGCTTCATCTGCCTGTTGTAGGAGAGAGATGAATTACTACTAACCATTTACTAGTCAATCACAAAGAAATTTTAAACCTGTATCCTGGGGCTTAAACTGTTCCCTCTTCAGAAAGAGCTTAGCTGGGTTTAGAAAGGCAAGCTCTGTGTTAGCTTTATAATGTCTGCAGGGGTCTAAAATAAGACAAGAGAAGTTTTTGTTTATACTTCAAAAACTGTAGCTAGACCTTCAGAAGATAAAATACACTGTACTAACCAATGAAGCTTCCTTTGGTACTGGAATTATTTAACCATGCAATTTCATTTTCTCTTCAGTTATTAACAATTATTCTGTGGACGTGGTCCCACAGAAGGCTGTGCATGCAATTAACTTTTCTCTTATAAGTGCTGGACCTATCATTTAAATAAAATGACTCATGTGCATAACAACTATACTTTACCATTGCTACGTGCATGGAATTCTTGTCTGCATCACTGTAAACTGCTATAGACTTCACACCCATCTTCCTTGCCGTCCGTATTACCCTACAAGCAATTTCTCCTCGATTTGCAATGAGGACCTTCTCTATTCTGTGGCTTCCTGTATAAAGGAGCAGTCAGGTTAAAATACTTCTAAATGAAAATACACTTTTACCTATGTTTGTAATGTTCTCCAAGATTCCTGAATTTCAAATTCTTTCATTTCCAGACTGATTTGTCACTGTTCATATTATTTGTTTATTTTTTTATTTCTTGCAAATAATATAAGAGCAAAGCAAGAATTTATCTGCTTACATTCTTTAGCATATAGTTAGCAATTTATAATGTTATGCTATTGAAGAAAGGTAAAAGTTTCACAATGATTTTGCAACCTTTGTATAAAAAAGATCTCTGAGTAAAAAAGGTACAAAACTAAATGAAACTGACATGAAATAAATATAACTAATAGTAAATGATATTCCTTAAAATCTTTTCATTGAGGCTTTTCGTTACATCCAGTATACAGACACTTCCTGGTAAAATGTAGTCTACTGACCATTTATAGATCAAAAAGCCATAATTGTCAAACTTCTCCTATAACCAATTTTTTAAAGATAATTTTATCCTATAGTGTTTTTAAAAGTTAAACCATCATGGATAAAGAATATAACTTAATACCTGTTGTTGAGGCATATCTCACAATTTTCTGTCCCCAAATCCATTTTCTGTAGAAAAACAGTAAACATATAAAGAAAAATAAAACATTAACAAGAGCTATTTCTCTTCTTGGATGTAGGGAAGACACTGGATACGTTTCTAAAGTGATTCGTGACATAATTAATTACACAGTCTGTGACATTGTGCAACTAGCAAGGTGTGCCAAACAAAAAAAGTCTCTTCTCAAAGGAACTGACAGCTTAAAGACACCATAGGCACAAGATCATAATTTAATTTAAAAAATAGTGAGGGATCATTCAGATTGGAATATTTTAAATAATAGATTTTTAGAAGGCTCTTGAAGAAGACAATGGCCTATTCCTCACATTTATTAACTGGGAGGTGGTTCACAGTATGCAGGGTAGTACAAAAGAGGACATGAAGTGGTTGGCTAAAGAGAAAAAAGGAGAGGTTAAGTGGGTGGTGGCAGAGGACAATGAAAAGAGGTGATGTTGGAGGCAACAAGAGAAAAGAAACAGGCAAAAGAGATACAAAAAAGTTGAGAGAAAAAAAACAGTCATAGAAGTAACAGATAAGCCAAAATATAGATGTTCCACTAGACAAGATGAAATAGCTGCCCACAAGTTTAAACATGCTCCTTTTTCAAAATGGTTTTAATTAACCCACAAGTTGATTCCTCAGCCTCAGGCCAGGTAGTCTAATTCATAGACTAAATCGGGGTGTCAAACTCAACCAGGATCCAGTCCAGGCCACATGGCAGTAGCAGCTCTAGCTCAGACCTGGGGCATGCAGCAGTGGTGGCAGCAGCTCTGGCTCTGGTTCTGGCATGGGGCTCGTGGTGCAGTCTAGCTCCTGTCATCTGCCCCCTGCCAGAGCCAAAGCTGCTGGTGCTGCAGCAACAGCAGCCAAGGAGCTGGGACCACAGCAATGAGTGAAGTAGCTGGTGGGTGACTGTGACTGTATTAGCCCTCAGTTATCTTCCTGCTGCTGGCTGCCATATCCACCAAGACCCAAGGGCCCCCAATTCCACATCAGGCAATCTCCCCCAGCATATCCCACACCTTCCAGTGTCAGGTGGGCTGGATGGAGAAGCTCTGCAAGCTGGATCCACATTTAACACCACATACATCACCGGCCACAAACTGAGAAAGAGACGGATCTGGATAGATGACTAGCTTCCAATGGCTCATCCTGGGAGATGAAGTTAATAATTAATGCAATGTTTTTTAATAATTAAAACTGTTTTGGCTAAGGAGACTTGATATGTTGGCTGACCAGTCAGTGCATTATCACAAGCAGAAAAGCAACATTAAGTACAATATGTATGGATGAGATGAAAAATTGACTAAAATCAGTGTCTTTATTTACAAGTGAAAACACAGAAAACCCAAGCAAACTGTGACCATTTGGGGGCAATCGCTGGGGCTCAATCCTAAAAACAAACAAAATCAAGACTGTTTATATTTTCTTATCTGTGACCTGCTCCCCCTGCCCATAAAGGAGGCTCAGTGTTGGGGTCTGACAGTGGTTTTTAGTTTTACTAGGTCTTTTCTGAAGGGATTCCTACTGGTCTTCACTGGAGAGAGCTTCTGATGGCTCACTCCGGCTGCCAAAGTTAATTAATTCACTTGCTACTGCCTTGGCTACATAGTAATTCATATAGTTTTGGCCAAACATTCAGCACATTACCAGGAGAAAAGCGACGTTAAATAGACTATGGACACAACGAATGGACTAAAATGAGTGTCTTTATTCAGAAAACCCAAATGAACCGTGATTGCTTGGAGCAATCACTGGGGCTCGATCCTAAAAAAGAAAATCAACGTTGATGTTGACGTTTTCTTGCCAGCAACCTACTTCCCCTACCTGTAGAGGAAGCTCAGTGCTGGGGCCTGATGGTGGATTTTTTTTTTGGTTTTATTAGGGGCAGTCCTACTTTGAGCAGGAGGTTGGACTAATGACTTCCCAAGGTCCCTCCCAACCCTGATTTTCTATAAGTCTATGATTTCTGAGGGGATAGCTGCTCTTTGCTGGCAAGAGCCAGCTTCAGGGAGATGTGTGAGCTTTACTGGAATGCAGTTGTTGGCCCAAAGGCTGCGCTTACAGAAAATGTGAAAAATCATTTTAAGAAAACCCCCTTGTTCTTCATCAGAGGGGAGAAGTTTCCACAGGTGCTGCCTATGCTGAGCCCGGTGCCCAGCCAAGCTTCCTGGACCCACCCTGAGGTTAGCCGGCCCCGGCGCCCTCAAGCAAGGACTTGCCACCACCCAAAAAAACCCCGCCTGCCAGTCTCGGCTGCTGCCTGGGCAGCACAGGAAGCCCAATGCCCAGCACTGTCAAGCGTTAAATATGAAATTACCATGCGGGAAGCTCAAAATGATCATATCTGCTGAAAAACAACTGTATACTGAAAAAATACGAAAATGGGCAGGCAATTACATACACAAATACGTCTTAGTCACTTTATATTGGCAGGCAAACTTTTTTTTGAGTAGATCAATATCTTTGATTAAATCAACTTGAGTTTACTCAGCTGGTCTAACAGTAGTTACTTTATATTGCTCACTGGAAATCACCAGTGGAACAACTGGGTCTTCCTAATCGACACATTTCTTTATTTTGAGCTGTCGTAAGAGCCCCAAAGCTGGTACAGACCCCGTAATGGGGGCACGGGTTTTTGATGCGTTTTTAGGTTTGTGTAGAAATGCTTATCTGGGGTCCTATATCTATATCTATCTATAGACAGATATAGATAGATATATACATACACACACATCTATATCTCTATATCTATCTATAGCTATATCTATCTAGATAGATATAGCTATAGATAGATATAGAGATAGATAGATGTAGCTATAGATAGATATAGAGATATAGATGTGTGTATGTACAGATAGATATATAGATAGATATATCTATATACCCATCTACATCTATAGATAGAGATATATGAACCACCTCCCATTTAATATATATCTATATATATCTAGAGAGAGAGCGCTATAGATAAATACAGAGATATAGATGTAGATAGGTATATAGATATAAATAGATACATATAGATATATACATTACATGGATATAGAGATAGATAGATATGAATATAGATGGATATGGATATAGATATATACATATACACGGATATAAAAAGACAGATATACTGTATATAGATATATATAGATTTAAAAATAAATAAATAAGACTCCCTGCAGGGCCCCTGGACTTTGCCTCTGCTGCACCAATGAGCTGCGGGGAAAATGACTGCAGGTGTTGAACACCTGGACAGCTGCGGCTGGCGCGTGGCGGACGGGACCCTGCACGAAGGGTCACACCGCTCGTCCCCGCCCGCAGCCGAGCCCAGCAGCCCTCGCGCAAGGGTCGGCGGCCCGAGGGGGCGGAGCCCTTCCCACAACGGGGGCGGGGCTCCCGGGGACACAGGGTGGCCCAGAGCAGGGGGCAGGTGTCCCGGGGGAGGTCGCACGCGCCCCGCCCCGCACTCACTGAAGCGGCAGCCCCCACAGGCAGCGACGGCCACGCTCAGCAGGCAGCGCCAGGGCCGCCATGTCAACGCAGGGACGGCGGCCGAGGAGGGTCAGAACGAGAAAGCGGGGGCGGGGCCGCGGCAGTGACGTTTTGACGAGAACGTTGACAGACAGTTGGGGCCGGGCTTGCCGGGGAGGCGCGTGGTGGGTGGAGCCTCTCCTCAGGGGGCTGCAGCAGTCGGTCCCATCAGAGAGGACGCCAGCGGGTTGTTCCGATCAGCGTCGCGTTGATGCAGCGATGGGGGCCCTCAAGCAGCCAGGCCCCTCTCATTAGACTCAAGGCCCCCGTAGAAAATGCCTGCTCTTAGCCTGCACAGTAGCAAATCTTCCTGTTACAAAGGGCTCAGAGCGCCCTACGTCGCACTCTGGACTCCCTTTTCCACAGATGTCATGGACGTCAGGGCTGGAAGGGACCCAAAGTCTAGTTGGTTTAATAAAAGCTATCACCTCTACCACCCATCCTGATTGCTCTTTGAAGCCTTAACCTTTTACCTGGCGATCGCCTGTGCACATGAACGCATATATGAACATATGTGCATACCTTAACGATATTTCACATCACTCTTAAAAGGATCTCGTGGCTTCTCGGCGGGGAACCACTCTGACGGCTGGGTTATTTTCCTCGCGGGGCTCTCGCGCCCCTGAACGCATTGAGTTCGTCCCTCCTAACGCTACCCATATAGATGTTCCTAAAAAACGGACCAGACTGGCCTTGTAACACAGTTAGGCTGCTTCTGCACACCAGAGGGCAGCATTTAATTTGGTTAATTAGGGATGAGTTAAATGGGTCTGTGTCACAGGGGCACTGAGGTGCCCTGTCCCTAGGAAGGAATAAGGGCAGCTGCCAATCACCAGGGCAGCTCAGATGATGGTTGCTGGGGCAACCGTGCTGGTCAGGTGACCAGGAGGGGGCAAGGCCGGGCCTTTATAAACAGCCCAGGCTGAAGCCTCCTGGCCAGTTTTCTTCTGGCAGCCTGGGTTGCAGGAGCTGTGCAGTAGCAGAGATGAGTGGTGCAACATGATCACCTGGGGGGCTGCATCATGAAGCAAGGCTGGAGGGAACCCAGATTGTGAAGCTTGAAGGTGGAACATAGGGGCCATAGTGGCATAGGCTTATTTTGGTTATAGCCCGTGGGCTCAGGGCTTTATGTTTCTTGTTCGTTATTGCTACAGACTGGAGGAGGCCTGATAAGGAGCCCCCCCAGAGAGGTGGGGGTGCTCCCAGCCCTGGAGTGTGGTGCTACAGTGTGGGGTGTTTAGATCCTGGCCCCAAGGAGGGGCGAACAGAGAGAGAGGCCCTAGTGAGGGCATGTGTTGAGAGAAGCCCCTGAGGGGGTGCATATTTTTGATAGAAACCCCAGGAGGGGTGCGGACTGAAAAGAGCCCCAAACTGAAGGGTCAAAGGGGCCAGGTAAGGCTCAGGCTGCCTGAGCCCAAATGGGAAAGAGTCCCAGAGGGGCTCCGCAGTGCTGGGAACCCTGAAGGGTCAAAGGGGCCAGGTAAGGCTCAGGCCACCTGAGCCCAATTGGAAAGAGTCCCAGGGGGGCTCTGCAGTGATGGGAACCCCGAAGGGTCAAAGGGGCAAGGTAAGGCTCAGGCTGCCTGAGCCCACTTGGGACAAGTACTATTAGTAAGCCCGAGAGGGCGGACGACTAGAGAAGGGGCGCCGGTTGCGTGACAAGCCCAGGGGCGCTAGAGAGTGGCACCGGTTGCGTGTCAAGCCCAAGGGCGCAGAAAGGAAAGGGACCAGATAATGTCTGGAAGAGCTGCGAGGCTTGGGGCGTGCTAAAGGGGAGGTAGGAGGCACACATAGCCCATAAGGCTGGGGGTGCACCAGGTCACTCCATACAGAACGGGGGACAGAATAAGCATAGCACCGTGTCCAAGGGGACTGTAAGGCAGCCTCCCATGTAAAACTATACATACCAACAAGACATGGCGGGTGAGAAAAGAGGGTGCTGGATCACTTACTTGACATGACAGGGGGCGCTAGAGGGATCACGGCTGCTCCTAGACCCTACTCCGTGACAGTCTGACAGCCAGAATTCAAGGTGGGTGGAGGTGGTGCTTTTAGTGGGGGAAGTCATGTTGGTTGTGGATTCGGTTACACTGCAAGCGTGGGCTGGATCACTTCTGCTTCCTCAGCCGGACGAAGGACGGGTATTTAGACCCAAAACCTGACGAGTTTTTTTTTTCCAACTAATTGAGAAAAGAGATTGGATTAACCCAAAGAACTGTGCCAGTTTAATTCACGTGTGGTTGGTTGGTTGGTTGGTTGGTTGTTTGTTTGAAGGGATGAGATCGAGGCGCTGTATCGAGTACAGGTGTCAAATGTGGAAGCGGTCGAATCAAAATGCAAACGACAACTAAACATTGCTGGTGTTTAATGCTTACTTACCTCTATATCAAGTACAGATAAGGATGTTAAGATTATTGTGAAAGGAAAACCAGTCCCCCTCGCTCGCCCCCGTTCATGTCAGCAGCACAGCCCATCGGCAGTTTTCATACAGAGTGGCCTTAAGGAGAGAGGTGTTAAAACTTGATATTAAAACATGTGCTGTGTTACGGGGGGGGGGAGGTTGTAGCCATATTGGTCTACAGACATTGGCAGACGTGGGTTTGTCGGGTGAACCTGATACCTTTTATTAGACCCACTTGGCCTAAAATAAAAGATAATGTGCTATGTTTTATTCATGGCAGAATAGACAAATGTAAACACAACTTCGTATTTTTATTTTAAATAAAGAGGAAAATAAAGACCTGAAGAAATGAGACGACATCCTGATTTCAAATACTGAGGCAGGAATCTGGAAACTACCATGCGCGGTTGTGAAGTGCCTGCAGAGAAGGAGACATATAGGGTGCTGTGTGTTTTATGGCTGGTTGGAAAAGCAGCAACACAAACAACCTTGAGTGCTGTTGCGGCCGAACAGTTATGGCAGCAGAATTTTTTTTAACCGCGTGCAAAGTTCACAGATATGAGGGAGGCCGAGTGTAGGAAAGAACAAGATAATCCGACCATAAAAATAAACCATTTACTTCCTTTATGTAAAGAATTGTAGCCTGGAGTATATTGATGCCATCGTTTTTTTTGTTACACATACTTAAATACAAATTCAGTCTTTCAGTGTTTGACAGCGTGGATCCTGTTCAAGTGGTGCATGTGCTCTACCTACATAAGACTGAACCTCTGGATAGCTGTGTCTGTTGGGTCCCACCTGTGCCCTGCACAGTCTCATATGCCTGCCCTACCACAGCTCTGAGCATAGAAAGCAGAGCAGCTGCAACTGTTCCTTCATTCCTGTTTGCTTTCCTTTGCTTGTTGCCCCTGAGCACTTTCTGTTCTTAATTTGTTAGTTAATCCCCTTTCTCCCTTTTAAATTTACTCCTTTTAACTTTTTTTTAAATTTAATTTTCTCTAGGCACTCTCTGCCAAAGCCATTTCATCAGTGGATTCAAAACATTTGGGCTTTAAGCCTGGTGACATTCCCATTTCCCTTCCAGATGTTGTGTCAGCGAAATGTTATGTGTGTGACTTACTCTGTCTTCATTTATTATTCTCAACAATGAGAGAAAATCTAGAGCATGATTCTCAATCAGGATGCCATGGCACCCTGGGGTGCACTGAGATCCTTTCAAAAGAGTCACACAGTGTTAGCACTGTCATGATTCACAAGTTAAACCTGGAAATTTTAGTAGGAATTCATAATGTTAAAAACATTTTGCGCTATTGTGGTCTTTCTATGTTCTTTGCAAGAAGCAAATTGCTCCATTTTTTTCTGCAGCCAAAAACCAAGTGAAAACTTAAAAGTTGGCATTTTCTGGGGGATGCCTTGAATCTGAAAAGGTTGACAACCACTGGTCTAATCTCGGGGCACCCCCATCGCTGCAGAGATTGACACTATTATTAGAGATCCATTTCTCCTCGCTTACAAAGAACAGAACATGGTTCTTCCCTCCAGACCAGAACCCCTCATTTTAGTGCCTCATCTTACTTATGAATATTAATGGCCCCCTGTCACTTGACCTCTCAACCCAGGGGTGACCAATCTGTAGCATGCATGCCACAAGTAGCATGGGAAGCCTGTGTGGTATGCAACAGATCAGAAGGGGTCAAACAGCAGTGACAGGGCAGAAAGCAGAGCAGCAGATCAGACACAGGGCAGGGAGCAGGAAGTAGAGCAGGCATTAGAAGGAGATTGCAGTAGCACTTGGAGGGCTGTGGGGCTTAATTTGTGGCACTCTTACCAAAAAGGTCAGGCCTCATTTCTTTAACCAACCTTATCTATACAGCTTCCCTCCATGGCCCTAGCCACTTATTGTGCAAAGATAGAATGGTCTCACAGAAGTATTGAGATGAAGATGAATACTCTAACCCATTGCTTTGCTGAGACTGACTTCATGTTTAATATACGGTAACAACGACATTACAAGTCACTGTCACTGAACCATTCAGGGTGGGCTAAAAATACACAAATACAATCTGAAAGCAGTCAAACAGTATGTGCTGCCCTTGGTGAATTCCACTGAACACGTTTCCATTTCTCAAAAGCAATGCCTCCCTTAGGAAAAGGTCATATTTCAAAGTAGCACCACTGTATGGGCAAAGGGTATATTTCACCCAGTGTCTTTTCATAATAACTTTTAGTGTGTTTTATCCTGCAAGTACCTTTTAAAAATAGTTAATGAGTCGTTAGCTACATCCCTGGGAGTTATCAAAGTGCTATGTGCTTTTAAATGCTGGTTGCAAAGACATGCTGGGATGGGATGGGATGGGCTCCACCGTTTCCGTAAAGGTAAGTGTGTGTATTCTTCTAGGCTGGCGGATCTCCTCCAGTGGGCTTTAAACTAGGCTGATCAGGGGAAGGGGAAGACGAAGGCGGAGGAAGCCTTGGACTGCCAAACAAAGCAACACCCACAAATACAGCCCAGCCTAGACTGACGAGCGGAACATATACACAGGTAAGCAACAGGGGCCAGGGCAATGCTGAGATTAGGGGGCCAGTGCACACATCCACAGGAGGCCTCAAATGCCTCTACACAAATGCTCGTAGTATGGGAAACAAGCAAGAGGAACTTACCCTCCTGCTAGCTGACACCAACCCGGACATAGTGGGGCTCACTGAAACGTGGTGGGACCCCACGCATGACTGGGCGGTGAATATCAAGGCTGTACAGGAGGGACAGGACAGGGAGGAAAGGTGGGGGCGTGGCGCTCTAAAGAGGAATACACATCCTCATCAGTTAACAAGGATCAGAGGAGGGGTACACGGAAGTGCTGTGGGTTAGAATACAAGGCAGTTGTGGGGAAAGAGATTTAACAGTGGGGGTCTACTACAGACCA